TGAAAGGGCGAGCATGTTTGGCGGGACGGGGACATTGAAGATATATACAAAGTAGTATTAATGGCGCAAGCAGCGATTTATATTGGCTTGATTTTAAGATTATTACCTCCAAGTTTATTAGTTGGAAGCATTTTTCTAGCAACTGAATTAATAAGCCTAACTTTTCCACTGCTACTATTTTTTTCTAATATTTTTCTGAATAAAAACACCAGTTTCTTGTACGGTTTACTTCATCCTTGCCTTAACGTTTCGTCATGTCCTTCATCCAAGTTATAATCAATAGGATGTCTGTTAATTAATTTAATTTTTTGCTTTCCAAAATCACTTGAATGACTTTTGTAAATGTGCTCTTGAAATTGTCTTTGATCAACATTATTTTTTTTCTATTCGAAATTCACTGTGGATGAATACAGTTATCTTCTGATATCTATGTTCATTTTTTTTTAAGACCAGTCTTTGATGAAGAGTTAAATCAATAAATAGCGTCATTTTTTTTATCTTGAATAGCTTCATTTTTATGTAATACAACTTTATGTGCTATACTTTCAACATGAGCTTTCTTAAATGGTGGTTAGTAATATTAAAAAGATGTAATAAACTTAAAAGTAGAAATAAGATAAAATCAAGCCATCCAAAAAAATAAATTTGTACCAAACAATGCCTACCATCTTAAAAGTTCTAAAAAATCCTTAAAGTAAAATAAATACCACTCTATTAATTCTACTACATGATACTCCCAACCTCCACCCTTTTCTAGAAATGACTTATTAAAAAAAAAGGCTTATTATTTCTACTTTTAGCTTTATTACTTCTATTTAAAGGTAACTGCCTTCCCACAACTTGCTGCTGACAGCGAAAGGCAGTAAGAGTTGAGGCATTGTGGGTGTAAGCACTCAACTCTGTACCCTTAATGAATTTTCCACAACTGCTGATTGGTTTCGTTATGACTTTTGGATGACGACCGGAAAGTGGGAAGGTTTTTGATTTCTTTAAATAGAGTTTTGAATTTATATATATATATATAATTAGTAGTATAAATAAAGATAGCAACGTTACTGTATCATTTATATGAAGACAAAATTCCATAACAATGATGGTTTATAATTTTGTTTTCAGTTGTAACAAGTTAAGTTAAAAACACTAATTATTATACTCATTAGTAAACCAAACGTTTTTATAACCACTCTCGTTAGTAAAAAGGAGTTAATTCACAGCTTAAAAACATTATAAATTCGGATATACGTTGTTTTTTGTTCTTATATATATTGCAAGTTACCGGGCTTGGAAAAATAAACTTCCTTCTGTGCAACTTGTAATTAGTTTTATTTTCATAGTGATAATGTCTTGGTTTCACTTAAGGTGAGTTTGTTATTATTGTTGTCGTTTTTACTGTTGGAGGAAACTATATTGGAGGGAAATATATATTATTATTTTCTTATTATTTTTAAATTCCTTTTTTCCTCTTATTTTATGCCAAGAGGTGGCTACCTGTCCTCAACTGGTCGCCGACTTGTTTGTTTGAAGTTAAATTCAAAGCTACACAATGGACTATCTGTACTCTGCCCATCACGGGTATCGAAACCCGGTTTCTAGCGTTGTTCCATTGGGGGGGGGGGGCGGTCGCTTACACTGACAGGTAATGGAATACAGATCGTTTTGGGTTTAAGCATCTGCACTTGTTTTCCTTATTTAATTTATAATTATATTATTCTTCTGTGTTAATATTAGTTTTTATTATCCTCCCCGACGAGTTTTTCATTGAGCAATTGTTGAAATTTTCTGGTGAAACTACATAGCTGCAACGCTTTTTTTTGGGTGTTATGACTACAGATATCTTCCAGTATGTTATACGATTTGCATTTTTACATTGAATACAACTTTAATTTTTCATGATGTAAATTTGTTGTTGTTGTGATTTGGGCTTACTGATGATTAAATTAATACTTAACCTTTTTAATTGTTTCCTTAATTTAATACGTTACAGCAGAAAAAAAAACTGGAAATATGAAAAGTTAAAATAAAAACTTTTCAATTTAACTTGTAACATCTGAAATATGTATACATACACACTTAAGCACGTTGCTTAGCTTTCTCCTGCTAAGTGCTACTTCTGTAAACTCAAGAACTAAAGGGAGGTAAAGTGATTAGGTGATACCATTGCTAAGTGCTACTTCTGTAAACTCAAGAACTAAAGGGAGGTAAAGTGATTAGGTGATACCATTGCTAAGTGCTACTTCTGTAAACTCATGAACTAAAGGGGAAGTAAAGTGATTAGGTGATAAATCAAAAGCCAATTTGTGTCAATTTCAACAGATGTCGGAGTCTTTGTTTATCTTGTTTTTTTACGTCTATTAATTATTGATAAGTTTATTTATACGCACTTAAAATTACTTAAAAGGATATTTCAAGTATACATAAAAAAATCACCCTGTATAAGAACATGATATACGGTGATCCTCTTATGCCTTAACACTATATCTTCGATTTTATTTTCAGTGACAAAGTAAATAGTATTGACTACAAGTTGTACTTGCCAGCGTGTATCTATGTATGTATCATTTATTCAATGGAAGTTATATTAAAAATGTAAAATATAACAGACGGTACAAGTTAAAAAACTACAAGTGTAGTTAGTTCTATTATAAATCCAAATATAGACTTAGATTCTATTAATGACATTATGTAATTTATATTTTAGGCCATTTCTTCTTGTTTTTTCTTTCTTTTTTATCTATATGTTGATAAAGTACTTATAAAACTTTTGTTATAGTATACTTCAATTCTTCGTAATCAAAAAGCAAATATTATTGTTTCGTTTACAATGTAGTAATGAAGAATCGTACAGTGAAAAGCATTGTATAGCTTCAAGAAGTTAATAAAACGAGACATGTAACGAGTACTTACGTTTCGCTTTTGCTGCTTGTTTGGCACTGGGCACCCACCGGATCGTGGACAAGTCTTCTTCCAGGATGAAATAACGGCGGTATTGTCTAGAACTACTTTTCAACTTCACCATGCTACTTCCATCCATCATGTATTGCCAGCAATCAGAAGCTGAAAATTAAATACTTTATGTGAGCATTGAATAAAGCCGCGGATTAATGCAGAAAAATAGTACTACAGAAGGTGAAATAGAAATGTTGTTATTATTCTTCCTGCAATTACAAATACACGTATGTATAAAATATTAATTACGAGCAAATGTACACATCCCTCACGCAGCACTTACACTGCTGTACGTGTTCAACGCAAATACATCTTTATGGAAAAAATCTTACTCAAATAACCGAACTTATACACAATATACCTTAATATAAAATAATATGCCCCCCCCCCCATTTCCTTCAAAACTATTAAAATTATTCTACAGACAATTTCAAATAATTTTATTATAAATTCCTGGGAAATGGTGTTCCACGGTTCTTCAAAGACATTACAACGATCATTTAAGTTGTTGGGATTCTTTTGTACATTTTATTTGTCCAAATAGCTCCATACAGCTTCAATGATATTAAGGTCTGAGCTTTAAAGGGGCTATTCCATGCTTTGGAGGACTTCAGTTCTTTCTTTCTTTCGCAAATAAGTTTTAATTATTCCAGCTGAGTGTTTTAGATCATTATCTTGCTGTAAGATGAAGTTTGAACCAATAAGTCTTGCATGAGGATAACACAGTAGATTAAAATTTATTTGTACCTTGCTGCAGTCAACGTGCCATCAATTTTCCGACACTACTTTGGAATATGTAATCCAAACTTGAATTAAACATCCTCCATGTTTAATAGTTGACTGCAAGCAAGAGTCTTTATAAGTTTCAGTTGCTCGTGGTCTCAGATACTCTCTTCAATTAGATCCAAATCATTGAAACATTGACTAGTCTGTCCAAAGTACCTTTGATCATTGTTTCATAATCCAATTTCTGTGTTTTTGTGCATATTGTAGCCTTTTATTCTTGTTCCCATTTCCCAGCAGAGGTTTTGCACGGGCCATAACAAACAATGGGAAGATTCCAAATTAGCTGCTGAAACTAACAATCACGTCACCTAGTCATCCAGTTTTTCCATTAGATCAATCTTATCTATAGTTATATCAAGAATATGTCTAATCTTGTTTATCGGTCTATATATCAGAGAGATATTTTGTTTTTGTTTTTCTAAATTGTTGCATTATTTGACAAGATAAACCAGGTTTAAATGGTAATACAAACCCTTCTTTCTTAACGCCCCCCCCCCCAGTGGCACGGCGGTATGTCTGCGTACTTAAAACACTAGAATCCGGGTTTCGATACCCGTGGTGGACAGAGCACGGATAGCCCATTGTGTAGCTTTGTGCTTAATTACAAACAATCTTTCTTAACGTTTTTCAGTGAGTAGTTTTAACGTAATATTTTTACTCCCGTTTTTAAATTTCTCGACAACTCTGTCAACAGTATCAGAATTAAAACCTCTTTCTATTATTACATACTTAGATAATAATAGCCAGTTGTTAATACCTTACTGTTTACAACATAATTTGAAAATTCTATTCACATAAGAATAAAAAGCAGAGATTTTTTTGAGTATTAGTGTGACATGATTTTTGACATAAAGGCACGATTACCGAGAACAGTTTTCAATATACAGCAGTTTCCTATTTAACCTTATTTTTGCTTACTAAAATATCTAAAACAGGTAAACAGTTATGCACCTCAATCTCATATGCAAAGGTAATAGGGTTGTCAATGTTATTAAGGTAATAACAAAATCAGTTAAAATCCCTTTGGCCTGGCATGGCCAGGTGGTTATAATCCCCGTCACAACAAACATGCTCGCCCTTTCAACCGTTATAATGTGACGGTCAATCCTAATCTTCGTTGGTAAAAGAGTAGCCCAAGAGTTGGCGGTGGGTGGTGATGACTAGCTGCCTTCCCTCTAGTCTTACACTGCTAAATTAAGGACGGCTGGCGGAGATAGCCCTCGTGTAGCTTTGCGCAAAATTCAAAACAAACAAACAAACAAACAACCTACTACATGTACATAAGCAGTGAAAACATATGATAATGTAATGAATTTTGCTATTTTGTACGATAGAGGCTCCCGATGGCTGAGCAGTAAGTGTAAGGGCTTATAATGCTAAAAATCGGGTGTCGATACCCATAGTAATGGAGATATAGAATAACCCATATCTAAACCTTCATTCTGTTTATAAACTTGACTCTTAATTTGAAAACATGAATTGTTAACACATGGTTCAATAAGGCTGATCTTATCCATTATTTCTAAAGCTGAATTCTTATTTTATTTTAATTTATTCACAAAACATGCAATGGCTTTTTCCACAAGTACTTTAGTAGATAATGAAACAAAATCAAAATACACAATTTAGCAGTGTAAGACTAGGGGGAAGGCAGCTAGTCATCACCACCCACCGCCAACTCTTGGGCTACTCTTTTACCAACGAATAGTGGGATTCGTCCGTCACATTATAACGCCCCCACGGCTGAAAGGGCGAACATTTTGGTGTGACGGGGATTCGAACCCGCGACCCTCAGATTGCGAGTCGAGCACCTTAACCACCTGGACATGCCGGGCCAATTACGGTATTACCATTGTCATTATTTCTACAGTACCTTCTATTCCACTCGTGCGTTATTTTTTCGTCACGGCGTTTCATTTTTCTTAAAGTTTTTTTAGTTTCGTTTTCCAGTGATCAAAATATATACAATAATATGATCTGATACAAACCTTTAATTTTATTCTTTAAGTTAAGATTATTATTTGCTCTTGACTGACTTACACTATCAGTAATAAAATTTATAATTACTTTTTTCGGTTACATAACCTGTTTACAAAATCATTATAATAAGATTTTACCCAATCATATTAAAAAATAAATTTGCTACAGTCTGCACTGGTTTTACTAATAAGAGGTGTTTTTCATTCAAAATCATACAAATTTCCCACTGGTTGGCCTATAAATAACTGTTTTTATATTTACGTTTAATAATATTTGCTTTGTCGCGGGTAACTTCAGTTCATGGTAATTAATACTAGTCTGCTACGTTCGTCTTAAAATTTCGCGCAAAGCTACACAACGGATTTCCACATAGCCGTTCCCAGTTTTGAGCTGATAGCCTAGATGGAAGGAAGCTAATCAACAATACCCACCGCTAACCCTTTTGCCGTATTTATCTGATCGTATAGTGGAATTTGAAACACACTTGTATAACTTTTGGGCTGAGGGCGGTCCAATGATTAGCGTGAAGCTGAGGTTTCTTGGTTCGTTAAAAAACACAAAACTCCACACTTTGGGGCCGTGATTGTGTTATAAGATTGCCCTTGTATGCCTTTGCGCAAAATCCAATAAACAAACAAACATCCTAAAGTGTGGAGCACATTTTTGCGATCACGGATCGCGAACCATGAATTCTAATATTGTCTGTTCGAATATAATATCGTTTGTTTGTAATTAAGCACAAAGCTACACAATGGGCTATCTGTGCTCTGCCCCCCCCCCACGGGTATCGAAACCCGGATGCTAGCGTTGTAAGTCCGCAGACATACTGCTGTGCCATTGGGGGGCAAATATATTATTAAAAACCATGGATTTTTTATATGCTTTCTTTAGTATATAACTTTGCGCAAGAAATATCGCTGGCGATTTTCATTTTATAATAATATTTTATAGTTACCCAGTCTCAAAGGTGATTAAGAAGAGGAAATGATGCAGAAATGAGTACTGGAAAGCCAAAAAGAAAAATAGCTATAGCATAAATCACACGTTATTGAAAAATATTACAGGGTTGTTATAGAAGTCACTATACGCAGTTGGAACAGTCTGCATGCATGGCGAACTGCTATATAGTCATTTGATAGGAGGAAAGACGCAAAGACTGGCACGACCAAAAAATAGATTAGAAGATATTACTGGAAATTAATTAATTATTTATTGAAATTATTATTATTGTTGGAAATTATTATGATACCATGAAAAATTACTTAATTAAAAAAGTAGCAAAATAACTTAAAGCATTATTAGTCACAGAAGGCGTACGAGTTAAACATATCTATAGTGTTATGGGGGAAATGTCAGAAACTGTAACGAAGCGAATCATTTAAATAACAAAAGCCATTAAAGCAGTTTAAGGTATCTATTACTGACTCGAAACCCGAAACCATCGACTACCCAGTTGCTAGAAGTTCCAAGATAAGTACAAGTGACTTGGCTTTTTAGGTAAGAACACTGAACTCGTGGGGTGAAATGCTTATTGGTTCTGTGAGAACATTATACACGTTGGGTTGTTTGTAGTACATTAGAGTGTGCAATTAAGAATTTCATTTTCCGTTAAGAGTGTGGGGGTCAGCCAGATGGTTAAAGCTCAATATACAGGAATTTTTGGAGTACAGCTTACTTTAATCGTCTGAATGTTGAAATCTATACAAATACTTAGAATGGCAAGGCTTGTGTTAAAAAACAAAACAGATTCATAAAGTTGCTTAATGCTATATGTTGAGCTTTGAATTTCTGGCAGACCCCCCCCCCTCAAACTCGTAATTGATATTATTTAGCTATATGTTGAGCTTTAAATTTCCGGTAGACCACCTCAAACCCTTAATTGATAATATTTATCTATATGTTGAGCTTTGAATTTCTGGCAGACCACCTCAAACTCGTAATTGATATTATTTAGCTATATGTTGAGCTTTGAATTTCTGGCAGACCCCCCCCCCCCTCAAACTCTTAATTGATAATATTTATCTATATGTTGAGCTTTGAATTTCTGGCAGACCCCCCTCAAAGTCTTAATTAATAATATTTAGCTGTATGTTGAGCTATGAATTTCTGGCAGACCCCACCCCACACAAACTCTTAATTGATATTATTTATTTTTTCAATAATTGATGTTCCGATATCAATTATACTTTTGGTGAAGTATGTTTTCCTATTTTGAGATTTTGTTTTTACAAAATGCTTAAAAATGTATAAAATACAATACATTTTTGCATACTTTAGTTGTGTTAAAGTAAATAAATTGATCTATGATGAATTTGGAACATAAGTGCCGCAACATCTAGAAT